TTTATATGTTTCTGCTGGATGGTTAAAAAAATTTTTTTTTTTTTAAAATTTTATTTATTTGTGTGTGGCCAGCTCAGCCCACCAGGGCGCCGGGCTGGCTGGCATGTGGTGCTGGGGGATTGAACCGTGGTCCGAATGCTTTGTTGCAGCTTGTTCTAAGTAGGTGCCTTAGACCTCTGAGCCATCTCACCAGCCCATCTGCTGGATGGTTAAGACCAAGATAAAGGAGGACCTATGCAACAAGAGCTGTAGCTTTTGGGTATGATAAGGAAGGTCAGTGAAATCCCCTCACGATTTATCCTGAGATCCTGTACCTCAGATTGTAGAACCTTTGTCAGTGTCAGCTATGTGGATGAGTCACGGCCATTGCTTGGCCAATGTGCTCTTTTTGAAAGCCTGAGAGAATGTTTTCTCTCCATGTGACTCTCCTTAGGCACACTCTACATCATCAATCATTTTCCCCTTTGGCCCCATAATCTCCTTGATCAGAAAATTTGGGACATTACTGAGTTATATGATGTTACAGTACAAGTTCTCATATGTCCTGAGTCTTAATTGACCTTAGAAGGCTAGGGCCAAAATGTTGGCTTTCCTTGCAACCCTCCTAGTTGTGGGTTCTTAAAAGCATTCTAAATACTCTTCAGGTTTTCTGCTGTGGGCCTTGGAGTGTTGTTGGGCTTTTTTTTTTTTTTTTTTGCAGAACCGGGAATTGAACTTAGGCCCTTGCACTTGCCAGGCAAGTGCTTATTCTACTGAACTATATGCCCAGCCCCAGTTGTTGGGCTTTTGAAGTTTTGTTTGCTTGCTTTTTTTGCCTTGGAGTTTTCTAAACATGGATTTATTTCATCTGGGTTCTAATACATGTGCTGCTGAAGTATGCACTTTATCTGGGTTCTAAATATACTTTCATCTGGATTCTAAATATATTTTCTGATTTTTAGAAAAATGGATTTTTTCCCTTTCTTAATCTGTATTTTGCATCACAGTCTTACTAGTTGTCTTAATCTATCTTACTGTTTCTTGGAGCCTTCATTCGTCTTTTGATTGGCTTTTCCATATTTTTGTTACTGCTGCTCATCTTCATTGGATAGCTCGGGTAGGATGCTTACATAGTACACCCCAGCTCTGAACCTTATTTAATCGGTTTGCTTTGTTCCTCCTTTGTTCAGTTGATACATGGTTCATTAAAAACTTTTTCTTTGATCTGGGTCCTTTACACCCTTAATACTTTGTTTTTGTAAATGTTGGGTATGATGATTTATATGTGAGATAAATAGCTCAGTTTATTATTATTATTATTTTTTTTTCAAACTTTTATTGATAAACAGATAGCAATGAGACAGTTTCAAATCAAATCGGAAGTACAGTTTCAACAAATAATACACTGCACATATTCTTCTTAGTGGTTAATTGCTGTACAAGATGCGGACTTGTGATCCTATTTACAAACACCATTAGAACAAATCATTCTATTCATTAAGACAATGCAACTATATATCTATCCCAACCTCTTTGAATACACAGATACAAAATGGACATTCATCTGTATACCCCATTTTTTCTAAGTTCCATTATTGAATATTATAGGTGTGTAAACTCAGCAAAATATTCTAAAAGAGTCCAGTAGCCCATAATAGCCTTGGGTCTTCTGTTTAACTGGCAATGTCAGAAATTATTGACCTGAGTCCCCCACAGCTCAACTTAACAGCATGGCTTTATTTCTTATATTTCGACTTCATACTTTTCTACTGGATGGTTAAGACCAAGGTAAAGCAGGACCTATGCAACAAGAGTTGTAGCTTTTTGATCAGTTTATTATTTTTTAACTTTTCTCCTTGTTTGTTTAATCTTATAATTTTTGGCAAAAATAATATCTCGTTAATTTATCATTGTCCCTGTAATCTTAGTTGTGAGGTTATACATTTTGAAGCTGTATTAGTTAATTTGCTTATTTCTTGGAAGTTCTGTTCTTTTTAGCTCTAGCACTTTAATCTTTGCCTTGTGTTTAGTTTACTGTGCTCTCTTTCTTTTTTCTATTTCCCGCTCTATAGCTTGTTGCCCTCTGCTGGCTTCAAAGCTAGTGCATGCTGCTTTTAGTTACTGTGTTAACCTAATTGTAAATTCATTCACTCTTGTTGATTTATTAAGTTTACCAGCACCTGTAGTGTTTTATTTTTTTTCTAGTCATTTTTTTCCTTTAATGCAACATACTGCACCATGTTTACATAGAATTTCTAGTATTTTTACATCTAATACTGCTTTTAATGAATGTAAAAGTTGGCTACTGACTGAAGCCTGATCAAATTTTTATCTCGCTTTCCCATCTGAACGATAGCTTGGCTATAAAGTTGTAATTTCAGTTACTTGTGCAGTGTTTTTGTTGATGCCTGGAATTAATGTTTCCTTTTTCTTTGTAAAGTTATTTGCATTTTTCTACTGAACACCTCAGATTCGGCTTTTGTCTTTGATATTAACAAATATTACTAAAAGTTTTCTAATTTCTTAGGCTATTTGTCCCGTTTGTGTTAGCTGTTGCTACTTTTGCCATCCATATGTGAGAACGTTTATATTTTCTTTCAGCCTGACTTTTTTTTTTTTTTTTTTTTTGTGGAACCTGGGGATTGAACTCAGGCCCTTGTGCTTGCCAGGGAAACGCTTATTCCACTGAGCCATCTCCCTGGCCCCTCAGCCCGGCTTTTGAGAGAGCTTTTCAATTTCAAAAACAGGGTCTTGTTAACACAATTAGAGTCATAGTGATCCTCCTGTCTCAGTGCTGGTGTGGTAGGCCTGTGCCACCATGCCCAGTTTTGGTGACCGGCATAACTTGTGGTACTGTGGATTAAACCCTGGTCCTTGTGCTTGCCAGGCAGGTGCTTAGACTGCGGAGCTATCTCCCTAGCTCTCAACTTCATAAACTTTTTCTTTGCTTAAATCTATCTTACCTAATTTGGTAATTTTAGTGATGGTATTTTCATATCCCACCTTATTTTAGATTTCTTGGTTTTGTTTCATAATACTTGTTCTTTTAAAAAAATGAAAAATTACCTATTTGGTACAGGGTCTCGCTACACAGCTTGGACTTGTAGTTTTCCTTCTCTCACCCTCAGATCTTTCATAGAAATTGAAAGGAAAAAAAGAAATCGTATTAGGTTTCTAGTTATTTTGGCCTTTGAGGTCAGATAAAGTGGACAGGGTCAGTTATTCTCTTAAGAGTATTGAGGGGAGGAATGAAGATCGGATTGTGGTCTGCAGTCCCGAAGTTCAAGGAAGGGGCAGGATGAGCCTAAATAGGATGCTTGTTTATGGAGATATTTAGTTGAGAATTCTAGGCAGTCACTTGGTTTGCTTCATGTGTGTGGGCTTTCCTTTGGTTGTCTAATCCATTATACCTAACTTGGATGGGGTGGGAGGAGGAGCGCTTTCATCAGTGATAATTGTTATCATTGGAGCTCTGGAATTGGGCTCTTGTGAAGGGTGATAGGAATGCTTGTTTTCTAAGCAAGAGCAGAACTTTAAAGGTTATTTACAAAAATGGTTTTTCCCAGCCTATTCTCACTGTCACCTGCTGTAGCTGTCCTGACTGGGTTGCCTTCAGTTTTACTCAGAAGTTGCTTAGTTTGCGTGTGTGTGTTGAGGGTATATATGGTTGAAATAGTTGTTTTCTTCTTGGTTTTAACATTTTTAGGGTCAATTTTGGGATGGGAAAGACATTGTTTTTTCCTTTAAGAGAAAGTAAAAAATATTTAAAAAGTTTTGTATTTGTGATAATCTTATCAAAATACTGGCTAAAGAATTATTACTTGATTTACAAAAAGTCTGTAGCAGGAAATTTTAATAGATTCTGGGTAGACTATAGAGATTCCTTGACATCAGGTAAACTTACGCAGTGTGAACATTTTGCAGCGTGGTAGAAGGGTTGATTGTTTTCAAGGAACTTTGTAAGCTAAGTGTAATTTTAAAAAACTTAATGCCTCATGGCATATCTTATGACAGTTGGGTTTTACTTCCATAAATTTGTTACTTACAAGATTTAAGTGATTTTTAAGTAACAGATTGAGATACAAATTTGTGTTCCCTCTTAATGTATTTTTATGTAATTTCAAATACCAAATTAAGAAAGTAATGATATTGTATGCTCCTGTCCTTCCCCCTAATTAGTACAGGTGAGTTGTAAATGTAAAAAAAGAAAATGGAAGAAACTTTTATTTTTTTGTGGAACCGGGGATTGAACGCAGGCTGTTGGACTTGCCAGGGAAGCGCTTATTCTACTGAGCCATCTTCCTGGCCCATAACTTTGTTAACTTAGTCTCAGTTCAAATACTCACAATAAACTAGGTTAGTTGTCATCAATAATAGGTTCAACACTGAATTTAATTACATTTAGAGAGGTTAAGTTTGACTAAAGCGATTTTTTTTTTAAAAGTAAATTTCCTTGATTAAGTTTCTACTTTGAAACTATTTTACAAAGGATCCATAAGTTTATATCGATGTTGAATCACTTAAATGTATCTTTTCCTTTATGCATTCACATTGATGTTTCCATTTCAGTATGATTAAAGAAGTGTGACTACTGTGATGCTATGTAACTGGTTTCTAACCTTTCAGCTTGCCTAGGGTAGTTAAAAGAAGAGTGAATGCTCTCAAAAACCTTCAAGTTAAATGTGCACAGATAGAAGCTAAATTCTATGAGGAAGTTCATGATCTTGAAAGGAAGTATGCTGTTCTCTATCAACCTCTATTTGATAAGGTAATATTCTCTACTATTTATCTAAAGTATTAGGAGATAAACTTGGAAGTAAAACCGAGTTTTCAGCTGGTTTAGTACTAAAGTGGGTGTTAGAATGCTTCGGAAAACTACCAAAAAACAATGATCATTGTGGTTTTTGTTAATTAAATCTATTGGAGTCTTTAGTGAGAAATCTCTTAACATTAAGCTTGGATTCCAGTGTTTCATGCAGACTTTTGTTGTTGTTGTTGTTGTTGTTGTTGTTATTATTATTATTATTATTATTATTATTACTTTTTAGCGATTTGAGATCATTAATGCAATTTACGAACCTACAGAAGAAGAATGTGAATGGAAACCAGATGAGGAAGATGAGATTTCGGTTAGTGTCAACTTTATTCTAGTGTATTTTTAGATGATAGGATTTCTTAAATTGTTTGAAATGTTAGCATTTGTTGATGAACTTACAGTATTTTGTAATTAGTGATTTTTTTTTTTGGCAGAACTGGGGATTGAACTCAGGCCCTTGTGCTTGCCAGGGAAGTACTTATTCCACTGAGCCATCTCCCCAGCCCCTAGTGATGTTTTTATACCTATGAAATGGTCTCTTGTAAGATTGTAGTGCAAGAGCTGGCCAGATAGCTCAGCGGAGTAAAGCGTCTGCTTAGCAGGTGCAGGGGTGGGGTTTCGATCCCTGGCCTGCTGTGATAGCCTCGCTCCAGGGGCTTAGCTTGCTCAGAGGGGAATTGAGACTGGGCATGGTGGCAAGCGCCTGTAATCCCAGCACTTGGGAGGCTGAAAAACAGAAAGGATCACTATGAATCCCATTTGTGCAGTGAGACCCTGTAGACTCTGTACTAAATGACATTAAAAAAAAAAAAAAAAAAAAAAAAAAGATTGTAGTGCAGGTGAGTCATACCTAGTCATTCTTTCCTTGTATTTTTAAAGTATTTCAAATTTATATAGATTTGTTTCTTTTGAATGTTTAAGATAACAAAGGATTGCTGCCATTTTTCAAGTGGAGACTTTCAAATGACTTGGCACTAGTAAATGTTAGCTGTGATACAAATGTAGTGCTGTTCTATGACTACTTCCTAGTGTTTGTATTCTAATATTTGTAGATAGAAGAATATTTTGATTAAGTACATCACAGGGTAACACACTAGACCAGTGGTGGAGAAGTTATGACATTTGTGCCTCTGTGGGCTGTTTTTTACATTGAACACTGTCAAAGATTCACCATCATTGGTTGCACTACCCAGTATTTTGCTTTTCTTGTTTGCTGTGCTTTAAAAGACTTATACTTCTCTTTATAAAATGTTTTTTCCCATGCCTCTTGGTCCCAGTGGTCTTTTTGGAGAGATATGGTAGTAGGATTTTTTTTTTTTTTTAATGGTACTGGGGTTGAACCTAGGGCCTTTATACTGAGCTACCATCCCCTGCCCTATCTATCTATCTATCTATCTATTTATTTATTTTATTTTGAGAAGGGTCTACGTTGCTCAGGTGGGCTTGAACCTTCATCCTACCTTAGTCCTACCTTAGCTCCCTTAATGATAAGGGAATGTACCACCATACCTGTCCTAGCAGCAATTTTAAGGGAATAAAAGTCTGGAATGAGTAACAGGAGTCTACATAACTAAACTAGAATTTTTATAACTAGAAAGTTATACTTGGTGGGTTTAGGTGAGTTGATTTTTTACACTGCGGCATTGCTTGTTAAGGAGACTTATATAAAAGAGTTGATAAAGAGAATTAATATTGGTATTCCATAATATGTCCTGCTATTTGTCAAGGAGGAGCTGAAAGAAAAGGCCAAAATTGAAGATGAGAAAAAGGATGAAGAAAAAGAAGATCCTAAAGGAATTCCTGAATTTTGGTTGACTGTTTTTAAGAATGTTGACTTACTCAGTGACATGGTTCAGGTAATTTTATTCCTAAAAACACCAGTTGACCTGCAAGGTAAACTTTGAAATTTAAATGACTGTGACTGATTCAGTGTTGACACTAGGACAGGTATGGTGGTACATTCCCTTATCATTGGTGGTACATCCCTTAAAAAAAAAGATTGTTCTTTTTTGACATAGCATAATCTGTAGAAGTGGAGTTTTTTTTTGTTATTGTTTTGGAAAGAAGAGTCTCACTGTGTAGTTCACCATGGCCTTATACTTGGAATCATTCTCTGCCTCAGCCTCCTGAGTGCTGGGATATAGGTATCACTATTCCCAGCAGCTTTTTTATTCAATTTACAACCAAGTCAGCTACAGTTCAGTTTTTAAAGTCAGAAGAGTGAATAGTCCCATTGGTAATAGATACAAATTGATTGATGTGTTCTTGTAAACCAGTGCATTGTCTTTGGATTACTTAATATGAGGTAGGGGAGAGAGGGAATCTTTAGCTTTTTCTGTTGCCCCAGAAGATTTTTCTTTTGGAGACTCTAGTACTATTCTAAGGGAAATTTGCAGAATCTGTGATTTTATTTATTTAATTTATTTACTTATTTCTTTTTTGTGAGGTAGGCTCTCACAAGGTAGCCCAGGCTACCCTGGAACTCCCTGTGATCCTCTTGCCTCAGTTTTCCTAGTGCTGGTGGTGTAGGCATGTGCCACCCCACCTAGCTAAAATTTGTGTGTTAAAAGAATATTGTGAAGATGTTTAACTCTTTCACAATTGTATTGTCCTCTTGCCTCTTCAGCATTTCTAAAACCTCTCTCTGCTTTTGGAGTCCTGTCTTGTTTCCCTGTCTTGAGATTGCTAGACGTTCTTTTAAGAAAAAGAAACCTCAGTGTAGTGACTGCTTACTGCCTTACTATTTCAGCAAAGTAGAAAAGGGAGAAACCAGTCACAGGAAACAAAAAGCAGTCATGCCCTCTTTAGACAGTTTCCTTTTTTTAGGCTGTTCAATTTGTATAATAAGGATGTAGTGATTTGTTTTGTCTGTTTTTCTCTATCGGTGGCAGTAGAACTAGTATCAGTGTAGTCTGTAATACGGAGAGGAAATTTTAAGATTAATTAGTGTAAAAGAGTTACTGTGTCTCCATTATCTTGTATTTGCTTAGTAACATTGGTCTTAAAAAGCCATGTTAATTTTATTACTCTTTTAATTTTAAGGAACATGATGAACCTATTCTGAAGCATTTGAAGGACATTAAAGTGAAATTCTCAGATGCTGGCCAGCCTATGGTAAACAAACAAACAAACAAAAATCTTTGAAATATTTTAATTTCCTATTAGATAAATGAAATAATTTTTTTCTTTAAAGACAGGGTTCTCTGTGTATATAGTTCAGGCTGGTTTTGAATTCACTATGTAGCCCAGGCAGGCTGCAAATGTGCAACAGTCCTCCTGTATCAGCCTCCCAAGTGCTGGGGTTCCAAGTGTGTGCCACCATGCCCAGTGAGAGGTTTTATTTGGCAGAACTGGGGATTGAACTCAGGCCCTTGCGCTTGCCAGGGAAGCACTTATTCTACTGAGCCATCTCCCCAGCGAGAGGTTTTAAAAAGAGTTGACATTCAAGAGTTAGGGATGAAGGTGAGAAGAAGTGCTGCTGAAGTTCTGTAGTGAGAGGAAGTAAATATCGATGTTGTCAGTTGTGATGCTTCATTTATTTCTTTTCCTGCTGTTTATTTAAACTTTTTGAAATACAATCATTGATAGTGGGTAAAAGTAGATAAAATAATGATAACATGCTGAGCATGGTGGTACATGCCTGTAATCCCAGAGAACGCAACATGAATAAGTAATTATGTAACTATTAAAAGTCATATACCTGGCAGTTCATAAAGAAAACGTGTTAGCAGTCTCTTACTCTGCCAAGAGAAAAGCTAAGAATCTTTCCTAAAAACTAAAAATATTACATTAAATATGGGCAAAGTTACTACAAAAATAAGCTGTAGGTAACTATGGTTGAACTTTTTCGGTTCTAGTTTCATATTTAAAAGCCTCCTTGAGACTGTTCTCTGAAGTGAAATAAATTGGACACAGATGTGCAAATACATTATTTCTCTAGTATGAGAAGCTGAGAGTGTAAATAAGGACCAGAATGTACAGTGGGTTGGTGAAATACTAAAAATGTTCAAATGGGGAGGGGAACAAAGGAAGGGAAGGGAAAAGGAAAGAAGAGGAAAAAGTGAAAATAATAGAAAAGGAAAAAAAATGGAAACAAAGCTTTTGTAAATGGGGAAAAGGTTGAGTGGGGAGGGTAGGGGAAAGGGGGAGAAAAAACCAAGTTATATTGTATACACAGATTCTCAGTGAAGAGTGTGATGTGCATATCTGAAATCACCAATAAAACCTGATTGGAGAATCCCTATCCCCAAAGCCTCCTTTGTTGGGGAGACGGGAAAGAAGAGGGACTTAAGTCAATGATGTATTCAGCCCAAATGATAGTTGTAAATTGAATCTAAATTTAGTTTAATTTGCACCTCATTTTGCTATTTTTAACATAGTTTATGGTTTTTCTTACATTTACAATTCTTTACATTGTAAAAGCCAGATTCAACTTTGTGAATGCATTAAAATTTATGATATGAGAAATAAACTAATTTTTATGCTTTTTTAAAAAGAGTTTTATCTTAGAATTTCACTTTGAGCCCAATGAATATTTCACAAATGAAGTGTTGACAAAGACATATAGGATGAGATCTGAACCAGATGATTCTGATCCCTTTTCGTTTGATGGACCAGAAATTATGGGCTGTACAGGGTGAGTTAGTTTTAGTACTTTAACAGAATGTTACATTTTTTTTCTCGTGCTTACAGTTTGTAATACTTGTATTTCCATTGTGTGTGTGTTTGCTACATACAGTTTATTTTCAAGCATTTCAGTAATATGTATCCTTTTTTTTCCTTATGTATTTGGTACAGGGTCTCACTACGCAGCTCGGACTTGTAGTGATCTTCCTGTTTCCAGCCTCCCTAGTGCTGGGATTACAGGCATGCGCTACCACTCCCAGTTGGCTTAGTGCCCCTGAGGGCTGGGCCAGATTGGCATGTGGTGCTGGGGATCCGAACCCTGGTTCCTGTGTTTATCTAAGCAGACACTTAATCCACTGAGCTATCTCACCAGCCCCCTTCAGTTTTCTTAATGCCCATAATTATAGCCATACATAGTTTAGTAAAAGTGCACTATTATTTTTTTTAGACTAGTTTTGCTAATTTGTATTTTAAAAATTTAGAAATAAAACTTTCAGTGTTATTGTGATAAAATATTTGAGCCAGTTACCTGCTCAGAAAACTTGAAAATTATAACACACCACTTCTAAAAATCTAGTAATTGAAAGTTCTAATTATAAATTTTTTTTCCCTTTGTTTTGCAAGGTGCCAAATAGATTGGAAAAAAGGAAAAAATGTCACTTTAAAAACCATTAAAAAGAAGCAGAAACATAAGGGACGTGGGACAGTTCGTACTGTGACTAAAACAGTTTCCAATGATTCTTTCTTTAATTTTTTTGCTCCTCCTGAAGGTAAACAGTGTTTTTAGTTTGTTTATTGATGGTTGTTTTACTATGAACTTCTTTGAATTTCTTACTCATTTGAATTTCCTTTTTTCAATTTTGCAGTTCCTGAGAGTGGAGATCTGGTAAGTGGAATTGTTAATTTATGAAGTTGTTTACTGTATATGAAATTAAAACTGTGCTCCTCAAAAGTAGAGCTTTGTTTAGATGGTTGTTGCTCACAGTGTGCCGAGGGGTTGAAGTTGGGGCCTGTTGGGCTACATCTCCATCCTGCTTCTTTACAGATCTGAAAGTGCATTCTCCATGATAATGGTCTCTACTGACCAACACTGACAGGAAAATATTTTCTTCCTTAATGAGAGCAGTGTATTACATCATGGGTACTACTTACTGAACTCTGAACCCCATTCTGGTTGGAACTCTTTGCTGTCTTTGTTGGTTCAATGGAGACAGATTATCACACAGTGGCCATATTTGTTCCTATATGTGGCATATGATCAAAAACTGACGTGTTCCTGTTCTTGCCATAGATTCTGAAGTGAAGAAAAGCTTCCAAGTGTACAACAGGCTCCAGGGATAGGCCAGGCATCAGTTTGTTTTTTGTTGGCCATCGTTTTTAAGTTAACAGTGGTAGTTAAAATAATTTTACATATATGTGAAATTAGAAATTGTGTGTTTGGTTTAGTTGATTTACTGTATTTATCAAGTAAGAACTACTTCAGCATTAAGTAGACTTACAAACTATACTTGACTGCAGCTACTTGGATACTATGTTCTCTGGTTATGTCATATTTACTGTATTCCTAATGTTATTAATGAAAGCCTTGAGTTTTTTTCTTATGGTATTCTAATGTGTTTTCAAAGAAAAATTGCCCTTATGTAACAAGTTACATTAGAGTTTGCTGTTTAAGCCCCTCCAAAAAACTAAGCAATAGTTTCTTTTTCATCTTTTGGTGGTTCTAGGAATTGAATCCAGTGCCTCATTCATGCTATGCAAGTGTTGTACCATTAGCTACATCTCTGGCCCTTGTACTTATTGCTGCTAACTTCTTTTTATAAAAGGTCTGTAAAAGTAGCAGATGTACATAACTACTGGATTAACAGGCATATAAGCTAATTTTAAATTGACAAAGTAGAATGTAAAGTGGCTGCTTCACAGCCACTTTAGCAGCTTCTTCTTCAAGACTTAAGTGTGGATATTTCACACACTTCAAATTGCAGTTATTCTCAACTTTTGTGCTTTTATATTCTTTTAAAAACAGGATGATGATGCTGAAGCTATCCTTGCTGCAGACTTTGAAATTGGTCACTTCCTACGAGAGCGTATAATCCCAAGATCGGTGCTGTACTTCACCGGGGAAGCCATTGAGGATGATGAGGATGATGTGAGTAAACCAAGGCCTGCAGTAACGTGGGTGGGGAGAGCTTGGAGTTCGGAGGAAGGTGGGCTTGCAGCCAGGATTGGTGAAAAATTAGACGGGAGTTGTAAAACATAGGACATAGGAAAATTTAGTATCAGGCCAAGTAGTAATAATCTTAGATATGTTTTCTAATCCCCTTAGGATTTTCAGATTTACCTTTTTATCTGCTAGTAGGAAAATTAGAGTTAGTGAAACTTGTAGGTTTAGTTAGTGTGACAGCTCTGTGTTGGATTTGGCCACATAAAATACGACTAGGACTTTTTTACTGTTTGGCATTTTATTTTCTTGCAATGTGTTTTGCACAGAAATACAAGTAATACTTACAGTTGCCTAATCACATTTTATCCACATAATTAATTTTATAATGTTATAGATAATAGCACTGAGTGATTTCCTACAGCTAATAGATGCTTTAATTTATAATCAGTCACTTTGAGGTTTTGTTTAGTTTTCACTTTTTAGATTAAGTGTTTAATATATGTGCCACTGAAGTGTTTATAGGGATAGGTGTTACGCTGTTCTCACGCATTGTATTCATTCACATTTATCCTGTTTTCCCTTCAGTATGATGAAGAAGGTGAAGAAGCGGATGAGGTAATGTTTACCAAATGAACAAATAATTCTGTTTAGCACATTGAGAAGCAAATTGAATGGCTTATGTATTCTTTTGCTATAATCATTGTGATTTGGGATAAAGTTGGAAAATGCGATTTTAGAATTCTACAGCCAAACAATGTATGTATAAGGTTTCAATAAATAAATTACAAAAACTCAGCAACATTTTTTTTTTATTTCAAATAATTTTGTTCTGCTGCAGGGTTATCAGCTCTTTGAAGAAGTCAAAAGCTGCAGTAAACTTTTTCAACATTGGCTGCAGTAAATCTTTTCAATAAAAGCTATCTGGATGTCTCAAGTTGTGTTGGGAAATTTTTCATATTAGAAACTTGCCAGTTAAATTGTATTATCACCAAACTCTGTAATTATGAAAAATCTGTTGACCCATAGAGTAAATTGCATTGAATTTCCCCTACATTATGAGCCAATTTTTCCTGCTGTGTGCCTGCTTCATGGATGCATTTTGAACTTTAATATAGGAAGGGGAAGAAGAAGGAGATGAGGAAAATGATCCAGATTATGACCCGAAGGTGAGCAAAATTAGTGTTTTTTTTTTTTTTAAATTCAAGGCAGGCTATAGTAAAAATATTGTTTAATTTCCTCCTCTACAGTTACTAGCAAAGCCCACTGTTGAAGACCTCCCCTCCTGTTTAGTTATTACTTGCATTTTGAGTGGTACACAAATCTTTTTGCACTTTCCTTGAGAAACATTAGTATTAATGTTTCATTTGTCATAGTTTCAGGCCAGTTGAGCCCCTCCCCCCACACACATACATACTGTACTTTTTAATGACATTGCTTTGGGATTTTTTCCCTGCAGTTTTTAAGTTTTAAAATTTGCAGTCTTCTCTCTAAAGGAAAGCTTATAAACAAAATTAGTTTTAAGAGATTTGCATGTTAGAATGCTCAGGAACTGGAGAGTAGTGTTTTTAGATTCTTCCAGCCATTGTTACTGTGTAGTACCTGAGATTCCCAGTCAGTAGTTCCTGGGAATTTAATTTGTAATATCAGGGTTGGTATTTACTTCCCACAGAGTACATAATGAATTAGTCAAGATCATTGAAACTTAAGATCTGTCTTCAGTTCATTCATGTGCATTGATTCCCTGACTTACAAACATTTGAGCTGTACATCTGTAGGTGTACTGTGTAAGACTCACTTTGTCGAATGAATTGCAACTTACTTTGTAAGTTGGGAATTTGCTGCACTCTGTGTAAAATACCTAAGTGAGAGATTATGTAAGAGAGTGATTTAAAATCAAATGGTGTGATAGGTAGCATCTTTGAAGATAAAGGCAACATAATTAAATTAGTTCTATAAAGTAAATGAAGTTGGTATCTGAAGGTAAAAAGACAATATAATTATAATTGATAGAATGGCTACCAAGTTATTTTGTTTTGAAGATGATTTAGTGTATCATGGGGGTAATTGTTCAATGTTAATTTTAGGCTTTGTTACAGCATTTTGTTGACTTTGTAAAATTTGCCATCATTATATCTTTAGGTAAAATTTTGACAGAAGTGAGCTATTGTGATAGTTAAAGGTAGTTAATTACTGTTGAGAGGTACATCAAAGCAGGTAGAAGTTAGATTGACTTCTTGTTTTCCTTTAACAGAAGGATCAAAACCCAGCAGAATGCAAGCAGCAGTGAAGCAGGATGTTTGTGGCCTTGAGGATAACCTGCACTGTAATAGCCTAAACACAACTATTATTTACTTACAGCCTTATGTTTTTGTATTTTCTTGGTAGAATCAGTAATTTTTTTTAAAGGAATTGACATTTTAAAGCCCAGTTTGTTCTAACTAGCATTTTATCTATAGTTTTATTGT